AAACATATAATTAATATATCAAACTTAAAAAAATTTACTTTTTATTTATACATTTTGTATAATAATTTAAAACAGTAAAATATGCATATAATTCTTTAAAATATTAAAATGTCACCATAATAGTATTTAAAATCGAAATCGAAATGTAAATAACACTGCTGTACAATGTTGAAGTTCCATCCACTTCACTGAAGGTCAAACTACTCATTATTGCATTAAGACATAAAATGAAAGCAAATGATAAATCTGGTTTATTTTTGGCATGTGGTGGCCCTCAGGTAGGGCACATTTTGTTTAAAAGTGTAGGATAATTTCCAAATACTGAAGTGCCTTATTACGAAAAAGTTAATTATTAGGAAAACAGACATAGACATATAAGCTCTTGTTCCAGGTATTTATAAGGCCCATAACAATCACTCAAGCCATAAATGGCTAGTGCAATAAAATAATTGGAAACAACCTCAGACCGGTAGATTTCTCCAGTGGAAAGGCCTAAAAATACCTCCAAACAAACTTCCAAATACTTTATTTATAAAAATGTTGTCCCATTACATTTTCCTGTCATGTGTGAGCATTAAACTGAAGGTGTGGGAGATAGTTCAGAAGCATATGGTCTCCCCAGCTGACGTCGGTAAGCTCATTTGTGCTTACAGACCTGCTGGGGGAGACACGTGCAGTGGGGTTTGGCTCCAGTCTGCCCTGTTGGTCGCCCTACTTCAGATCAGTTCAATAAGAAGCATTTGATGGATTTATTCAGTCTGCTCTTTCTATTAGGATTGTTGGGTCTAAGCTACTCCTTTCCACTTTTCCTTCCTCTCTCTTGCTCCACCACTCACAGACACACATAACACTTCCCCTCTAAGCAGCATAACACTCCTGCGGTGAAATGGATCTTGAGGAGTGCGGTCGGAGCAGGCAGAGCTGCCTTCTTCCATCTGCTCAGAGACACACTCCAAAGATAACACACAAAGCACCAAAAATGGGAGTAAACTATTGATTTTCCATGAAGGCCTCTTTAAATTTATTGGGAAACAGGGGAGAGACACTGAGATGGGAGGACATGGATTTATGAGCCTTAATGGCAAGATGCACTTGTTAAATGAAAACGATCACACGTTTGTCGGTGAACTTGACAGGAGATTAGTTTTGGTTGTGCACAAATCTGTCAAAGAAGCATCACTTTGGGGTGTGTGTGAGGGGACGGGTTTACTGGCACTCAACATCAGTCACATGTCAAAGGATTGTTCCTACACCTCTGCTACTAACTCACCCCAAAAACAAGAGCATGTGGTTGAATTGATGAAAATCCTTTGTCTTGATTCAAAGTACTATGTTTAGAAAAAAAACACACACACAGACACATTGTACTTGTACTCAGAGATCGGAGCTACTTCAGCAGAGAAATGCTTGAAAAATAAGTCCACGACATGTTTGTTGGTTACTGGAGTCCAAAGCACAGCCAATATTGCAGAGTCTATTGCCTTTTTTCTAATAAAGAAAAAACTCAATTTATTTTCATCACAGCTAGTGTTAGTGGCACTAAATGAGTCTCCAAATAGCTTTTCCAAACACATCTATGCACCAATATTAAAATTCTGGACTATACAGAAAAGCCAATAATTATTTTCATAATAAATGAGTTGGGAATAACACGTTACACAGTAACATTACTGTATTCAAATTACTTTTCCTGAAAACGCAATAATGTAATGCATTACATTTTAATTTTATGTAATTTGATTTCAGTTACTAATGTCAATAAAATTAAGTTTTAAATGCAGTTAAGAAAAAATATGAAGTAAAATTTTAAAATCAATGTTTTGCGCGACAGTATGCCCTTTAATAAATCACCAGAGAATGCAAGCTAAAATGCAGACAAGTTGTACAACATTTAGATGCAATGAAATGTTGCCTATCATATTTCAAAATGTTGTACTCGATTTCACATTTTAGTCTGGCATTTGGGAAAAGTCCTACTAGTAAAATGTGTACAAGCTCATGTGGATGAATAGCATGAATGAATACAGCATGAATAGCTCGCGCTGCGAGTGGGTGTGACCACATTACAGATAATGAGCTCAGACAGGACAGACTGAACCTTCCGTTGGTTTCATACGGATTACTTTATCAGAGAATATTATATTATAACTTCATTTAAAAATATACACTTCAGTCTTTCTATAGATATATTTCTTATGTCTGTGTGTGAAGTATTCGCT